AATACATCTTAATTATCAATACCATGGAAAGTTCAAAAGATTTTCCAGAGAAGCTTATAACTCACGAAAGATTTTCGTAGGAAGGCATCGTGGCTTTTACCCCGATTATACTTCCGGCATATTTCACAGGCGATGAACGACGCCCAGAGAACAGAATAAGAAATAAGAGCAACGAAATTTTCTGCATTTCTCTAATTAATGGTTGCTTCGATCCTGAGCTCATAAAGAGATAGCGCTAACGAGGTAATCGCATAATGTGTCACTTTGCGGTTTGAAATGCAGCTGGATGTATAGTTTCAGGGCAGTTTGGATTACTCGGATTCTACTGAAGAGCAATCCCTATCTGGGTATTAATTTATACAGAATAATATCTTACAATAACTAAAAATTCGTATAGCATAAATAAATGTTGTCCTAAGTTACTAATTTATAAATATAAACATTGTTTTTGGGAAATAGTAAAAAGTTTGTCTACATGGCCTATCCCCGTGAGGAGCTAGTGTATGCTAAATTTGATCTATTTTTATGTCAAGTAATATGGATTAGGAAGTATTTGAAAGTATAAGGAAGTATTAGAAAGTATAAAGAATTATTTTGAATTATTAGGAAGTATAAGGACTCATTAGGAAGCATTAGAAAGTATTAAGAAGTATTAGAAAGTATTAGGAAGTATTAGGAAGCATTAGGAAGTATTATGAAGTATTAGGAAGTATAAGGAAGTATAAGGAAGTATTAGTAAGTATTAGGAAGTATTAGGAAGTATTAGGAAGTATTAGGAAGTATTAGGAAGTATTAGGAAGTATTAGGAAGTATTAGGAAGTATTAGGAAGTATTACGAAGTATTAAGAAGTATTAGGAAGTATTAGGAAGTATTAGGAAGTATTAGGAAGTATTAGGAAGTATTAGGAAGTATTAGGAAGTATTAGGAAGTATTATGAAGTATTAGGAAGTATTGGGAAGTATTAGTAAGTACTAGGAAGTATTAGGAAGTATTAGAAAGTATCAAGAAATATTAGGACGTATTAGGAAATATTAGGAAGTATTAAGAAGTGTTATGAAGTATTATTAAGTATTAGGAAGTATAAGGAAGTATAAGGAAGTATAAGGAAGTATTAGGAAGTATTAGGAAGTATTAGGAAGTATTAGGAAGTATTAGGAAGTATTAGGAAGTATTAGGAAGTATTAGGAAGTATTAGGAAGTATTAGGAAGTATTAGGAAGTATTAGGAAGTAATCGGAAATAATAGGAAGTATTATGAAGTATAAGGAAGCATTAGGAAGCATTAGGAAGTATTAGAAAGTATTAAGAAGTATTAGGAAGTATTAGGAAGTATTAGGAAGTATTAGGAAGTATAAGGAAGTATTAGGAAGTATTAGGAAGTATTAGGAAGTATTAGGAAGTATTAGGAAGTATTAGGAAGTATTAGCAAGTATTAGAAAGTATTAGGAAGTATTATTAAGTACAAGGAAGTATTAGGAAGTATTAGGAAGTATTAGGAAGTATCAAGAAATATTAGGACGTATTAGGAAGTATTAGGAAGTATTAAGAAGTGTTATTAAGTATTATTAAGTATTATTAAGTATTAGGAAGTATAAGGAAGAATTAGGACGTATTAGAAAGTATTAGAAAGTATTAGGAAGTATTAGGAAGTATTAGGAAGTATTAGGAAGTATTAGAAAGTATTCGAAAGTATTCGGAAGTATTAGGAAGTATTAGGAAGTACAAGGAATTATTAGGAAGTATTAGGAAGTATAAGGAAGTATTAGGAAGTATTAGGAAGTATTAAGAAGTATTAGGAAGTATTAGGAAGTATTAGGAAGTATTAGGAAGTATTAGGAAGTATTAGGAAGTATTAGGAAGTATTAGGAAGTATTAGGAAGTATTAGGAAGTATAAGGAAGTATTAGGAAATATTAGGAAGTATTAGGAATTATTAGGAATTATTAAGAATTATTAGGAAGTATTAGGAAGTATTAAGAAGTATTATGAAGTATTATGAAGTATTATGAAGTATTATTAAGTATTAGGAAGTATTAGGAAGTATTAGGAAGTATTAGGAAGTATTAGGAAGTATTAGGAAGTATTAGGAAGTATTAGGAAGTATTAGGAAGTATTAGGAAGTATTAGGAAGTATTAGGAAGTATTAGGAAGTATTAGGAAGTATTAGGAAGTATTAGGAAGTATTAGGAAGTATTAGGAAGTATTAGGAAGTATTAGGAAGTATTAGGAAGTATTAGGAAGTATTATGAAGTATTAGGAAGTATTATGAAGTATTAGGAAGTATTAGGAAGTATTAGTAAGTACTAGGAAGTATTAGGAAGTATTAGAAAGTATCAACAAATATTAGGACGTATTAGGAAATATTAGGAAGTATTAAGAAGTGTTATGAAGTATTATTAAGTATTAGGAAGTATAAGGAAGTATTAGTAAGTATTAGTAAGTATTAGGAAGTATTAGGAAGTATTAGGAAGTATTAGGAAGTATTAGGAAGTATTAGGAAGTATTAGGAAGTATTAGGAAGTATTAGGAAGTATTAGGAAGTATTAGGAAGTAATCGGAAATATTGGGAAGTATTAGGAAGTATTAGGAAGTATAAGGAAGCATTAGGAAGCATTAGGAAGTATTAGAAAGTATTAGAAAGTATTAAGAAGTATTAAGAAGTATTAGGAAGTATTAGGAAGTATTAGGAAGTATTAGGAAGTATTAGGAAGTATTAGGAAGTATTAGGAAGTATTAGGAAGTATTAGGAAGTATTAGGAAGTATTAGGAAGTATTAGGAAGTATTAGGAAGTATTAGGAAGTATTAGGAAGTATTAGGAAGTATTAGGAAGTATGAGGAAGTATTAGGAAGCATTAGGAAGTATTAGGAAGTATTAGGAAGTATTAGAAAGTATTAGGAAGTATTATTAAGTACAAGGAAGTATTAGGAAGTATTAGGAAGTATTAGGAAGTATCAAGAAATATTAGGACGTATTAGGAAGTATTAGGAAGTATTAAGAAGTGTTATTAAGTATTATTAAGTATTATTAAGTATTATTAAGTATTAGGAAGTATAAGGAAGTATTAGGACGTATTAGGAAGTATTAGGAAGTATTAGGAAGTATTAGGAAGTATTAGGAAGTATTAGGAAGTATTAGGAAGTATTAGGAAGTATTAGGAAGTATTAGAAAGTATTAGGAAGTATTAGAAAGTATTAGGAAGTATTAGGAAGTATTAGGAAGTATTCGAAAGTATTCGGAAGTATTAGGAAGTATTAGGAAGTATTAGGAAGTATTAGGAAGTACAAGGAATTATTAGGAAGTATTAGGAAGTATAAGGAAGTATAAGGAAGTATAAGGAAGTATAAGGAAGTATTAGGAAGTATTAGGAAGTATTAAGAAGTATTAAGAAGTATTAGGAAGTATTAGGAAGTATTAGGAAGTATTATGAAATATTAGGAAGTATTAGGAAGTATAAGGAAGTATTAGGAAGTATTAGGAATTATTAGGAATTATTAAGAATTATTAGGAAGTATTAGGAAGTATTAAGAAGTATTATGAAGTATTATGAAGTATTAAGAAGTATTATTAAGTATTAGGAAGTATTAGGAAGTATTAGGAAGTATTAGGAAGTATTAGGAAGTATTAGGAAGTATTAGGAAGTATTAGGAAGTATTAGGAAGTATTAGGAAGTATTAGGAAGTATTAGGAAGTATTAAGAAGTATTAGGAAGTATTAGGACGTATTAGGAAGTATTAGAAAGTACAAGGAAGTATTAGAAAGTACAAGAAAGTATTAGAAAGTACGAGGAAGTATTAGGAATTTTTATGAAGTATTAGAAAGTACAAGGAAGTATTAGAAAGTACAAGGAAGTATTAGAAAGTACAAGGAAGTATTAGGAATTATTATGAATTATTAGGTAGTATTAGGTAGTATTAGTAAGTAATATTAAGTATTAGTAAGTATAAGTAAGTATAAGTAAGTATAAGTAAGTATTAGTAAGTATTAGTAAGTATTAGTAAGTATTAGTAAGACTTAGTAAGTATTAGTAAGTATTAGTAAGTATTAGTAAGTATTAGTAAGTATTAGTAAGTATTAGTAAGTATTAGTAAGTATTAGTAAGTATTAGGAAGTATTAGGAAGTATTAGGAAGTACTATGAAATATTAGGAAGTATTGGGAAGTATTAGGAAGTATTATAAAGTAATAGAAAATACTAGGAATTATTGGGAGGTATTAGGAAAAATTAGGAAGTATTAGGAAGTATTATGAATTATTAGGAAGTATTAGGAAGTATTGGAAAATATTAGGAAGTATTAGGAAGTATTAGGAAGTATTAGGAAGTATTAGGAAGTATTAGGAAGTATTAGGAAGTATTAGGAAGTATTAGGAAGTATTAGGAAGTATTAGGAAGTACTAGGAAGTATTAGGAAGTATTAGGAAGTATTAGGAAGTATTAGGAATTATTAGAGTATTAGGAAGTATTAGGAAGTATTAGGAAGTATTAGGAAGTATTAGGATGTATTAGGAAGTATTAGGAAGTATCAGGAAGTATTAGGAATTATTAGGAAGTATTAGAAAGTATTAGAAAGTATTAGGAAGTATTAGAAAGTATTAGGAAGTATTAGGAAGTATTAGGAAGTATAAGGAAGTATTAGGAAGTATTAGGAAGTATTAGGAAGTATTAGGAATTATTAGGAAGTATTAGGAAGTATTAGGAAGTATTAGGAAGTATTACGAAGTATTAGGAAGTATTAGGAAGTATTAGGAAGTATTAGGAAGTATTAGGGGAGGGTAGGGTAAGTGGGACAGCATAAGGTTAAACAATTAATAACTTTTATACTTGTAGAAATGACACAACGTGTATTGAATAAAAATAAACTTTAATTCGTTAGGTCATAACCTAACCTTGAAAAATGAGGAAATTTTAAAGTTTTAATTAAAGGTCAGAAAAAAATTTTCAAATGACTCACTTGCCCCAAGTTATGGGGCAAGTGAATCCAAGTGAGTCTTTATACTAATTATCATCGGCAGTTGTCACAAACATAGTTATCAGCACCCGCTTCGTTATCTGAACACTCCTCATGCATCCAGGCACCACATTTTATGCACATAATCCATTCGTCGTGACAAGTGTCTCCATATGTCTCATGACAGTAAACGCATAATGTGGCTTTCTCCTTCTCTGACATTGCTGCTGATGCTTCTGCCGCTGCAACTTTTTCTTTTCTCTCAAGTTTTCTTTTTATTTCACATTTTCAAGACACGAACTTGGCCCTGCTTTGTTAAAATTCTTTTTGACTGATTTAGCTTTTACTGTTTTCAATTTATCTTTCAATTTCTCTTCGAGTTGATCTTTGTAAGGTGAGCTGGTGATTATTTTGGATCCTTCTGTGGTTCTGGATTTTGCTTTGATTTTTCTTTTCTCTTGACAGGGTTTTGTTATTGGACTTATTTCTGATATAGAGACATAACTGCATGACGGTTGATCTGGTTCTAAAATTGTTTTGGAGTTACTTTGCCTTTGAGATGGTTTCAAGATTAGGCTTGAATTTGAAATAGAAACAGAACTGCATGACGGTTGATCTGGTTCTAAAAGTGCTTTGGAGTTGCTTTTTCCTTGAGATGGTTTCGAGATTAGGCTTGAATTTGAAATAGAAACAGAACTGCATGACGGTTGTTCTGTTGCCTCTAAAACTGGTAGTATGTTAGGATCATTCTTGATGTCATCTTCAGGCGATTCTGGATTAGGTAGATCTTCCAAGTTTACGGAATTGACTAAGGGATTGACGCTGTCTGGATTTGATTATTTTTGAAGAATGTTCTCGGCCGCCTCAAAGTCGCTCCGGGTCATAAGGGAAGATTCCTGTTTTTTCAAAATCCTTAATATGTATTGGTGGAAATACTTTAATAAGGGCGTTTTTTATAATAGGAGCCATGTCATATTCGGTGATTCTAGGGCCAGGGTGATTTGTCAGCCAGTGGTCCATTTTTCTTGCTAGGTAGGTTTTGAAGGGCCCAAATATGCTTACGTCAAGAGGCTGCAGCCTATTCGAAGTATGAGGTGGTAATGTCAAAACAGAAACTACAGAATTTCTAGCCAGGATTATTGATTCAATGGACTTGTGACTAGTATCAGTAGGCTCAGAGACTCTCTGGTTGTTTGTGTTGAGTTTATAAAATGTTTTAAAAATTTAAGAAATAGGTCGGCATCCAGCCATCCGGATTGAGCAGGGAATCCTACTGTTCCAGGAAACGCACCATTTAACAAGGTTGGGTTCATTCTTACACGAGAGAAGACCATAAATGGTGAAATGAATGTGCCCGTAGCACTAACACATGCTAGTAATGTAGTATTTTTTCCTTTTTTCAATGAAGTTAATCTTCCCACCTGCCTTCTTACTTTTTCCGCTACTAGTTTTCCTGGTTTTTAAACGCAGGTAATCCCTGTCTCATCACAGTTAAATATGCGATACGGTGGGAACTTGTACTTGTCCAAGAGCTCTTTTAAATTTTCCAAAAACTCATTGACTCTGTGTTTGGAAAATCCTGTCACTCTCGCAATGCTTGTTGCTTCAGGTCTTTTAATAGAGAGGCTTTCTTGACGCTTTAAAAATTATATCAGCCAGTCATTTCCAGCCAGCTTCCGATCTTTATTGAACGGATGATTGATTTGGTTAAATTCAGCAAACTGAAATGCATTCCGTCGAAGATCTGCCATTAAGAGTCAATGAATAGCTTCTCTAAGTGTATTATATGTTTACTCAAATCCATTTCCATTTTTTCACTGAACACGGGTTTGAATCTGCCTAAGCTTAGAACCGGATTCTGCCCCTGTCGCTTCAATCGTAAGTGTATGCTGGCTCTCGGAACGTTAAAAACCACACTAGATTTCTTGATTGACATCTCCTTATTCTAAATAGCTTCTAAGCAACGCTGCATAGCATCTTTGAAGTATGATCCCTTTTGGGTCTTGCGCACGTAGGTACGGAACATTTTCCACTACTGCAAAAAAAAAACAATAACTTAAGTTAAAGTAATCCTATAATAAACCAACTGTGGGGCAAGTGAGTCATGGCTATGACTTACTTACCCCACAGCGACATCAAAATTTAAAAAACAAAATCAAGCTCAACAGGTACATTTGGCAACGTTCTAAGAATCAGGCGGTATTTCTCGAATATGTGGTTATGTTATGTTTATATTGAATTATCTAGATAGTGCCTTTAAATTTAGAAAAACGCTTGTGTAATTCACATCAATAATAACATAACAATACGTAGAATACAAAAAAAAATATATTTACCTTAGTTTTAGTAATTTTCCGGTAAATTTGCATAGATACCATCCATGTTGTACGTGAACTGCACCGATTGTTGCCGGCTATGTTGCCGATTATACGAATTATTCCAAAAGACGCACTTGCCCCCTATGACTCACTTGCCCCACTCCCCCCTAAGTATGAGGAATTATTAGAAAATATTAGGAAGTATTAGGAAATATTAGGAGGTATTAGGAGGTCTTAGGAACTATTAAGAAATATTAGGAAGTGTTAGGAAGTATTAGGAAGTATTAGATAGATAGATATTTATTGATGTAAAATAAAAATAAATATTTTACATGTGCCAATGTTAAAAGTATAAAAAAAAGATACAGAAAATATAGTTGTAATTTAGAGAAATATAGACAAAAAAAATACAGATACAAATACAAATACAGATACACATTCACATACACATAACATATTAAAACATACTTTGAAGAAAAAAATTAAAAAGTTATATTTACTAAAAAAGTTTACACGTTACTCACATGCACAGATGGACACATGTGATAAGAATTCGGCAATGGAATAAAAGCAGTGACTCGACAAAAATTTGCGAATTCTTATTTTAAATAAATTAAAAGATGAGTTTTTATAAACTTGAGGTAGGGAATTGTACAGTTTAATGCTGATATATCTATAAGAATCATGAAGTTAATCTGTAATTAGGTAAAGATATATCCTAATTTCTTCTGGTGCAATAAGAATGTTTAGAGCTCTGTCCTATTACATTATTATTACCAATTTGTCTTTTTATGTATAAAAGAAACTCTAAAATAAAACAACATGGTAGTAGTAAAATACCCAACTGTTTAAAAATAGGTTGGCAGTGACTATTGTAGCTACTCGATGTCACAATACGTACTACTTTTTTTGTGCAATAAATATCCTAAGTTAGTTGCTTGTATTTCCCCTAAAAGTATAACCCCATACGTCATAATGGTATGAAACAATGAAAAGTAGACCATTTTTAAATGTACAATGTCTAATTGAAATTTTGGCTGTCTAATTGCATAAGTAACTTTAAATGTGATATTTAAAATTAGTTTCGGGTATAAATATATTCCTAAAAGTTTAATCTGTTCCTCACTTTCAGCAATAATAGACATTTGCTAAGTTTTTGCTTCGTTTAATGTAAGACCATTGCTACCAAACCAATTATTTAACGTAACTTTTGCTTCATTTAGCCTCTCTATTGTATCAGATTTAGTTTTGTCTATAGCAATATACAGGGTGTTTTAGATTTAAATGGACACAGCTTAATGGGAGGTAGAGTACACTTAGCTGAGTTCAAAACTCCCCTACCTGTTAAAACGTTCGCAGAAGTGTTAAAACGTTTACGGTGTTCATTTTGAAAATCTACTTTGGTTTTAATTAATTATTTGTTTCTGTTAGTTTGTTCTATTACTTTATTAAATAAAGTGAGCTCGGTCCTGTATAGATGTTCAATTTCCTAATGGAAAATGCTGTAGTTAAAAAAAATGACGATAGTACCTAATTTTTGTAGAGTTTTAAAAGTACAGAGTAAAATATTTGATTTAAATTTTTTAAATACTGATTTATAATAATGTAGTTGCCATTATAAAAATTTATTGTAAGAACATCAAGATGGTGCTATTAAATATTATTACATAATTTTATGTGTTGATCCACGTACTATTTAAATGTGCAGTAACATTTATTAAAATCTGATATACAGGGTGATATTCTAGCTAAGAAGAGAAATATAAAGAAAAGACAGTCTCATCCTGGAATTTTTTAAAATTAAATTAAGGTTTTGATTGACCTAAGAGAGTGTAACTTTTGTACAAAATTTTATCAAAATAACTTTAGCCGTTTAAACAAAATGTACGATTTTAATTTTGGCAAAAAATCATAAAACATCCTATATCTCAGAAACGAGTGAGATTAAAGGCTAAGTATAGGGGTGTTTTGAACTTAGCTAAGTGTACTCTACTCCTCATTAAGCTGTTTCCGTTTAAATCTGAAACACCCTGTATGTTGAATTATAAGTTGTAATACCACAAGTGATTGAATTGGCGCGATAATTCTGTCGATTTATTTTAGAACGAAACAGTTGCTTGCAACTCAGTTGAGTTGTGAAATAAAAGACAGAATTATAAGATAAATTCAATCACGAGTGGAATTTTATTAGACTATTTCACAAACAAAGTGACTCTTCTAATGCGTATTTTCGTTCATCGCAAAAACTAGTAAATTGCTTCCAAACGTACTCCTTTGATTTCTTTGTATTTTTCGGTACATTTTCATCAATTTTTCCATTGATTAATTCGATGGAATTTATCCCAAATCTGCTCATTTTTATATGCGTGCACGGCGGAATTATTTATATTTCAAGTTTAACTGTCACATAAACAATCTGAAAACACCGAACTTGACAGGCCAATCAGGATCAAGAGTTAGGTTTGGTGTTATCGATAATCCAAACTTGACTAGAACTCCTGATTGGTTCATTTGATAAGTGCGTGAAATAGCATAATACACCTGTATGATATTACTTAGATTAATTAATAAATCATTACAGTAAATGATAAAAAGTAAGGGTCCGCGAACAGGACCCTGTGGAACTCCATATAATACTGATTTCTAGCCCGAAGTATGCCCATCAATTTGAACATATTGAGTTCTTTTTTAGCAAATAAGAGATAATAAGCTGTAATGGTGTTCCTCTAACTCCATATCTCTCTAATTTTAATAATAAAATGATATATTTAACCGTATCGAATGCTCTCGTAAGATCATAAAATCTGGCAGTACTATGTAAACAATCCTCAAAACCATCCGTAACAGCTTCATAGAGATCACAAATTGCGTTAATTGTTGATTTATTTGCCCTTTAACCTAATTGATTTTGGCTTAGCAACTAGTTGCTTCCAAAAACATTCATAATTCGTTGTTTTAACACTATTTCAAAAATTTTGCTTAATATTGGTATAATTGAGATAGGTCTGTAAGCAGATGGTAGATTCATGTCCCCTTTTTTGAAAACAGGGGTCACTCGTGATACTTTAAATGTATCTGGAAAAACTCCAGATTTCATGCACAAATTAATTAGGTTAGCAATGGGAGTGTCTAAAATATCAACAACTGATTTCAACAAAACTGCACTCAATCCATAAATATCCCTAGCTTTAGAATTTTTTAAATCTTTGATAATTTGATGGACTTCTGTTAGTAGTTATGATTAGCCAGTTCTGGTCCAAGGTCAGAGGAAAGGTCAGAGGCAATTGATGTAATTAGTAATTACCCTAAGTACCCACCCCCACCCTTAGCGCAATTAGTAAGTACCTCCCAATTACTCTGTAAACCATGTAGTGAGTGTAATTACATAGTAAGTACTTTTCAA